TTTTGTTAGAGTTATTGCCCTTGAATTACAAGTTAGTATAAATTTGCAATTTTCAACTTGGGTTTGCTGCTTGGGGATTTATTCAGTATTTTGTTAGTGTCTTGCCCTTTACTTAGTAAAAAGATTTTTAGTTTTCAAAAATATTTGAACCTAGAGTCATAAGATTGTACAGAACAGTGGCGCGACTGTGGGGGCCACCCGTGTCTATGGACACATTTCTAGTTTTTATTAAAGAACAATTAAAATGATTTGTTACAATAACATTTTAAAAATATTTGAAAAATTGTGAGATCCCTTCTTGATGCCTTGAAAATGGCAATGAAGTCTGGAGATTAAGATGTTTTACATCTAGGTGAGCCATTGTGATCCCCACGTCCGTCGTCGTGTGTCGTCAAGCAATTTCTTTAAACAACATCTCCTCAGAAACAAATGACTGCACAGCAACCAAACTTTACAGGAATGATCCTAGGGTGGTCCCCTGCCAAAGTTGATCAAATGGTTCCAGTCTGTTGCATAAGTAGGTCACAGGGCCAGAAAAGGAGTTTCAAAAATGCAAAATTAAAAAATCTTGTCTGAAAGTACAAAGCCTAGAGCTTTGATATTTGGTATATGATATAACCTATAGGTCCTCTACCAAAATTGTTCAAATTTTAGCCCTGGGGTCAAAATTGGCCCCACTCCAGGGGGTCATAGATTTTCGTTATATGTATATAGTGAAAACTTAAAAATTCTTCTTGTTTGAAGGTACAAGGCTTCAAGTTCAAAGAATATTACAGTTTATGCCATGATTAATATATAAATAAAGCCTTATGTCTTCAGTTGTTGTGTTAATAATAACCAGTACTCGGCGGGGGATATAAATTCAACGAATTTGCTTGTTACTTGTGTGTCTTTAACCTTGTCTGCCCTTCACAGGTCAAACTACTGGTGGGATTTCAACCAAAATTTACAGGAGTGATCAGTACCATCCCTAGGCACGTTCTGCTTCGCTGCACAAAATGGCTGCCAGAGCTAAAAATTGAAAAATCTTGTCTAGCCTTCACAGGTCAAACTACTGGTGGGATTTCAACCAAACTTTACAGGAGTGATCAGTACCATCCTTATTTGTGCTTATCACCGGCATGTTTTGCTAAGCTGCACAAAATGGCCACCAGAGCTAAAAAAAGAAAATTCTTGTCCGGCCTTTGAAGGTCAAACTACTGGTGGGATTTCAAGCAATCCATCCCTAGTTGTGCACATCACCTACACGTTCCATTTTGATGCACAAAATGGCCATCTGTGTTATGAATAGGAAAATTTTGTCCAGCTTTCACAGATCAAGCTACAGGTGGGATTTCAATGAAACTTCACATGAGTGACCATACATAGTTTTGGGAGACATGTTATGTGACAAAAACACTTCTAGTTATATCCCCGAAACGAAGTTTGGGGGGTATATAGGAGTCACCAGGTGGTCGGTCAGTTGGTCGGTCGGTCGGTCCAGATGTCCGTTGCATTTTCCTCGTCCAAAGCATAACTTGAACTAATGGTTGGAATTCAATACAACTTCATACAATGGTCAAGCACATTGAGAGGAAGTGCAGTGCACAAGAACCATAACTCCATCATGACTCATTATAGAGTTATTGCCCTTTGTTACTTTTCCTTGTCAGGGGCATAACTTAAAAACTACTGCTTGGAATTCAAAACAACTTCATACAATGGTCAAGCACAATAAGAGGAAGTGCAGAACACAAGAACCATAACTCTATCTAAAGTAATTACAGAGTTATTGCCCTTTGTTACTTTTCCATTGCTTATTTTTGTCCGGAGCATAACTGGAAGACTAATGGTTGGAATTCAATACAACTTAAGGTAGTACACCCCTAATGCACTATCTCTACTTTGAAGAGTATTCAAATAGGCTAGAATCACTGTAAAGTGTATTGAAACTAAGGGGCGTGGGTTCAAACCCCAGAAGGGGCAACTTTTTTTTCCATCTTATTTTTTAGCTCACCTGTCACAAAGTGAGAGTGTGAGCTTTTGTGATCACTTTTAGTCCGGCGTCCGTCCATCGTCCGTCTATAAACTTTTACTTTAAATGACATCTCCTCATAAACCACTAAGCCGATTTCATCCAAACTTCACAGGAATGTTCCTTTGGTGGTCACCTTTAAAAATTGTTCAAAGAATTTTTTTCCATGCAGAACTTTGGTTACCATGGCAACCGAAAGAAAAAACTTTAAATATCTTCTTTTAAAAAACCCAAAGAGCTAGAGCTTAGATATTTGGCATGAAACATCTTCTCGTGAGTGGCTACCAAGTTTGTTCAAATAAAAGCCGTGGGGTCAAAATTGGCCCCGCCCCAGGGGGTCATTGAATTTCCCTATAAGCATATAGTAAAAACTTAAAAAATTTTCTCTTAAAGAACCCAAAGAGCTAGTGCTAAGATATTTAGCATGAAACATGTTCTAATGGATGTCTACCAAGTTTGTTCAAATAAAAGCCCTGGGGTCAAATTTGGCCCCGCCCCAGGGGGTCATTGATTTTCCTTATATGCATATAGTAAAAACTTAAAAATCTTCTTTTAAAGAACTCAAAGAGCTAGAGCTAAGATATTTAGCATGAAATATGTTCTAATGGGTGTCTACAAAGTTTGTTCAAATAAAAGCCCTGGGGTCAAAATTGGCCCGCCCGGGGGGTCATTGATTTTCCTTATATGTGTATAGCAAAAACTTTAAAAAAATCTTCTTAGAAAAAACCCAGATAGCTAGAGTTTAGATATTAAGCATGAAACATCTTCTAGTGAGTGTCTACAAAGTTTGTTCAAATAAAAGCCCTGGGGTCAAAATTGGCACTGCCCTGGGGGTCATTGATTTTCCTTATATGTGTAGAGCAAAAACTTAAAAAAATCTTCTTTGAAAAACCCCAAATAGCTAGAGTTTAGATATTAAACATGAAACATCTTCTAGTGAGTGTCTACAAAGTTTGTTCAAATAAAAGCCCTGGGGGTCAAATCTGGCCCTGCGTCAGAGGTGTCATTGTTTTTAATTATATGTTTATAGTAAAAACTTAAAAAATCTTCTTTTAAAAAACCCAATGAGCTAGAGGTAAGATGTTTAATATGAAACATCTTCTAGTGAGTGTCTACCAAGTTTGTTCAAATAAAAGCCCTTGGGTTAAAATTGGCCCTGCCGGGGGGTGCAAAGGTCATTGTTTTACATTATTTGTGTGTAGTAAAAACTTAACATCATGAAACATCTTCTAATATGTGGCTTCCAAGTTTGTTCAAATAAAAGACCTGGGGTTTAAAATGGCCCCTCTCTGGGGGCCTATATACAGGTGAGCCACCTTAGGGCCATCATGGCCCTCTTGTTCTTTTTACCATTTTTTATTAATCTCTCAGATCCCTAATGGAAGGAAAAAGTGTTTCATTTGAATAATATAATTATTGTAGGTATTTATTTACTAAATAATGCCAAATTTAATAGCAAATATGATACCAGGTATTTTCAAAGTTTAATAAAATAAAAACTACACGGTAAAAGTATTTTATATTTTGCAAAACCATCCAATATACATTTAAGAAAGTTTAGGCAACCTTTGAAATCAGCCCCTCATTGTGAAAAATTTTAGGGATATTTAAATACGGCTTTTAACATAGGGAAATGGTCAAATAAGTGTTAAAAGTGGGTGGGGTAGGGTTACATTTTTATACATATTAAAAACATTTTGTATAAAAACATTAATTTTGCCCTTTTGATTTGTTACCTAAATGTCATTGTTTGTTTCTTAACAATGAGCAATTGGAAAACATTTTTCATAATGATGATATTATAGATTATTTAGAGTTTCCTCATTACTGACAAAAAGCCCTTCTAATGGCAAAGTTTTAGTTCAGAAAAATGTCCATAACTCATAAACCACACGGTAAATTTTGCATACAGGTGACATTTAAGGCATATAAATGTCCTATGATGTCAATTTTACAATTCCTTATAGTGCCCATGAGGGGTGTTTTACCTTAAGACAATGATCAAGCACATTGAGAGGAAGTGCAGTGCACAAGAACCATAACTCCATCTTGACTAATTACAGAGTTATTGCCCTTTGTTACTTTTCCTTGTCCGGAGCATAACTTGAAAACTACTAGTTGGAATTCAATACAACTTCATACAATCATCAAGCACATTAAGAGGAAGTGCAGTGCACAAGAACCATAACTCTGTCTAGAGTAATTATTGAGTTACTGCCCTTTGTTACTTTTCCATTGCTTTTTTCTTGTCCAGAGCATAACTTGAAAAGTACTATTTGGAATTCAATACAATTTCATACAATGGTCAAGTATATTGAGAGGAAGCGCAGTGCACAGAAACCATAACTCTTTCTTGACTCATTTAAGAGTTTTTGCCCTTTGTTACTTTTTAATGTCCAGTGCATAACTTGAAAATTAATGTTTGGAATTCAATGAAACTTCATACAATGGTCAAGGGCAGTGAGATGAAGTGCAGTGCAGAAGAAGCATAACTCTATTTTGACTCATTACAGTTATTGCCCTTTGTTACTTTTTTGTCCAGTGCATAACTTGAAAACTAGTAGTTGGAATTCAATACAACTTCATACAATGGTCAAGCGCAATGAGAGGAAGTGCAGTGTACAATAACCATAACTCCATCTTCAGTATTTGTAGAGTTATTGCCCTTTGTTCCTTTTCCTTGTCCAGTGCATTACTTAAAACTAATGTTTAGAATTCAATGCAACTTCAAACAATGATCAAGCGCAATGAGAGGAAGTGCTGTGCTCAAGAAGCGTAACTCTTTCTGGATTTATTACAGAGTAATTCAATAAAACTTCATCAATGGTCAACCATATTTTATGGAAATGCAACATACAAAAACCACAACTATCTTTAATTGCCCACAACCTTAACTCTATTTTAGTTCTTTTGCAAGGTATTCTGCTACTTAAGTAACTTCCTCATTTCCGAAGTAGTCTTGCGGGGGTATTAATCTCATTTAGTGATAGTTCTAGTTATATATTGTTGTTTATTTGTAAACATTTCAGAAGGAGTTTCGAGACCATTTCTTAAACATTACACGTATTATGGACTGTGTGGGTTGTGATAAATGTAAACTTTGGGGGAAACTGCAGGTAAAACAAAAACACTTTAGTATTTATTTTTAGCTTCACTTTTTGTGACAGACACACCCTCAGGTTTATATGCAACTATGCAATGGCAACAGATGAAATTTGAAAACAATTTATAATGTATAATGTAATGTGTGAACTAAAAAAAGATTTAATCATATAAAGCACCCACATTATGTTGGGATATATTGAAAGCATTCATCTTTATACCCAAAAAAGTTGTAAGGAGGGAAGACTGAAATCAGCTTGCCCATTCAGCCATCCAGTTGTTTTTCCTTGTCCGCCCAATAACTTAAGATTCCTTTGACCCTCAGTCTTCATATTTGGAATTTAAATTGGTCATGATTAGAAGATGATCCCTATTGATTTTGATGTCAAAGGTCAAGGTCACAGGGGCCTTGACTTAAAAAAGCTTTTCCGCCCAATAACTTAAGATTTCTTTGACCCACAGTCTTCATACTTGGCATGGAGGTTGGCCATGACCATTAGATGACCCCTATTGATTTTGAGGTCACTGGGTCAAAGGTCAAGGTCACAGGGGCCTTGAATAAAAAAAGTTTTTCAGCCCAATAACTTAAGATTCCTTTGACCCACAGTCTTCATATTTTGTATTGAGTTTGGTCTTGATTAGTAGATGACCCCTATTGATTTTGAGGTCACCAAGTCAAAGATCAAGGTCACAGGACCTTTGACTAAAAAAGCTTGTCCAACCCAATAAGTTAAGATTCCTTTTACTCACAGTCTTCATATTTGGCATGGAGGTTAGTCATGATTAGTAGATGACCCTTATTGATTTTGAGTACACCAGGTCAAAGGTCAATGTCACAGGGACCTTGACTTCAAAAGTTTGTCAGCCCAATAACTTAAGAAACCTTTGACCCACAGCCTTCATATTTGGCATTGAGGTTGATCATGACCATTAGGTGACTCCATTGATTTTGAAGTCACTGGGTTAAAGGTCAAGGTTACAGGGGCCTTGACTAAAAAAGCTTGTCCACTAAATTGCTACAGAATGCTTTAGTCAACAGCTTTCCTTTTTAGCTCACCTGAGCAATGCTCAGGGTGAGCTATTGTGATCGCCCTGTGTCCGTCGTCGTGCGTCGTGCGTCGTCAACTTTTCACGTAAACAACATCTCCTCTGAAACCAATGACTGCACATCAACCAAACTTTACAGAAATGATCCTTGGGTGGTCCCCTTTCAAAGTTGTTCAAATGGTTCCGGTCTGTTGCATATGTAGGTCACAGGGCCAGAAAAGGATTTCAAAAAACACAAAATTAAAAAATCTTCTTGTCTGAAAGTACATGGGATAGAGCTTTGATTTTTGGTATATGGTATCATCTATGGGTCCTCTACCAAAGTTGTTCAAATTTTGTCCCTAGTGTCAAAATTGGCCCCGCCCCGGGGGGTCATAGGTTTTTCCTTATATGTCTATAGGTAAATCTAAAAAAATCTTCTTCTCTGATTTGGCAAAGGCTACAGATTAGATATTTGGCATGAAACATTGTGTAGTAGACCTCTATCAAGATTGTTCAAATAATGGCCCTAGGGTCAAAATTGGCCCCGCCCTGGGGGGTCATTGATTTTCATTACATACATATAGTGAAAACTTGAAAAATCTTCTGGTCTGAAACTAAATGGCCTAGAGCTTTGATTTTTGGTATATGGTATCATCTATGGGTCCTCTACCAAAGTTGTTCAAAATTTGTCCCTAGTGTCAAAATTGGCCCCTCCCCAGGGGGTCATAGGTTTTTCTAATATGTATATAGTAAAACATAAAAAAATCTTCTTCTCTGAATTGGCAAAGGCTACAGGTTTAAGATATTTGGCATGAAACATTGTGTGGTAGACCTCTACCAAGATTGTTCAAATAATGGCCCTCGGGTCAAAATTGGCCCCGCCCTCAGGGGTCATTGATTTTCATTATATACATATAGTGAAAACTTGAAAAATCTTCTGGTCTGAAAGTAAATGGCCTAGAGCTTTGATATTTGGTCTATGGTATCATCTATAGGTCCAAAACCAAAGTTGTTCAAATTTTGTTCCTAGAATTAAAATCGGCCCCGCCCTGGGGGTCATTGATTTTACCTATATGTATATAGTAAAAACTTAAAAAAACTTCTTTTAAAGAACCCATAGAGCTAGAGCTAAGATATTTAGCATGAAACATTTTCAAATGGGTGTCTACCAAGTTTGTTCAAATAAAAGCCCTGGGGTCAAAATTGGCCCCGCCCCAGGGGGTCATTGATTTTCCCTATATGCATATAGTAAAAACTTAAAAAAATTTCTTTTAAAGAATGCAAAGAGCTAGAGCTAGTGTTGTGCAGCAGAAAAATGATAAAATTCTTTAAAAAAAATAAATGAATAAATATGCATGATGATTTTCTTTTAAACAAAAATATTTATAAATATAATCATTTTCTAAAAGGTCAAATTTTCAGAACAATGTGTGAAATTTCAAATATGTTAAGTTACAAATATTATATGTTTTAATAACAGATGTC